ATTTATATATATATATATATTTACAAAAGTTAATTATTCTTAAAAAAAACTGCAGGGAGGGGGAGGGAGCATTGTGACAGCTGGCCGGCTCAGAGCTTCTGGTGAGTATATCTTTGTTATTTTAGCACCTATACACAAACAATCACTTAACCCATGTAGTGCAGGGGTAGCCCCACTGCAAGGGTTAATCATTTCCTGGAGTTAAATTTCCTGGAGTTCTTCTTTAAGATTTTACATCAACAACTATTGTATAAAATGTCCATGTATGTTAAAGTGGACCTATACCCCATTTCACTAAAAATCACATCAGTATTCAGCTCTGCATGCTGATATGAAATCATGTAACATTGATTAGTTCAGTAAACATATTTTCTTTTACTTCCAATTACTGGTTTTCCCACTTCCTTGTCTTTTAGGGCATTAGTGATGTAACCTGTGCCCAAGTAATGCATCCTCAGATGGTTACATGACCAGTGCAATGCTGGGAAACCTTAATTGTAAGCTGCAAAATTTCACAAGATCCTAGCTCCTAGTCACGTGTGCCAGAGGTTCAGCAAGTAAAATGAAGATATTCTAATCTGCCCTTAGTAAAAATGGCCACCATGAGAAGAATATGGAAGTAAAGAAAACTGAGGTATGCAAATAATAGGTATCTGTTTGTAGACTGACATTACGAAACATTTCTAAAGGTCACTTTATTGTCATTTTAAAGATACGACTGAAGTTTCTCTTTAACCAGTTGACATCCGCGGTGTTAAACCCCCTTCCCATCCAGGCCATTTTTCAGTATTCAGCGCTGCGGTACTTTGACTGACATTTATTATCTTTACACTCTAAAATCAAATTCTACCAAAGCATCACTCTATATATGATGTTTAATAATAGCAGAGACACGTCAGGTGTAAAATGCTGTGATTTTGAAATACTTACACTTGCAGAAAATTCACTTCCTGCTTTGAAAGGGCAAAATGACTTCAGTTTGCCAAAGCAACACCCACTGGGATTGCCTTGTCATCAGCAGAGCATTGCTGCGAAATCTCACCTGTAATCTCATGAGATCTCAGGGAAAGGCATTTTCCTCCGCTGAGATGATGTGCATGGTCACATGTCTAGTCACATGTGCCAGAAATCCAGGAAGTAAAAAGTGAGCTAGTAATCTGCCCTTAGTAAAAAAAAAATGGCCACTGTCAGAAGACTTGGAAAGAAAAGAGAAATAAGGTATGCAAAGAATACAACGCCTGCAATTACCCTGTTTCCCTGAAAATAAGACCTACCCCGAAAATAAGACCTAGTACTATTTTTGGGAATTGCTCAAATATAAGACCTACCTCGAAAATAAGACCTAGTTGTGACCATTGCCAGGGCCGGTGGTGGCATAAGGGGGAACCTGAAGAGCCGCAGGAGAGAATCAGCAGTGCCAATGAAGCCAGCACTAGAGGAAGTGAGGCGGCAGCACAGGGAGCAGAGCCGCATAAGCCGATGTTTTCTCTATAGCGCCGCCTCCTGTCACAGGCGGAGTGATACCAAATGCACTCCGCCTGTGAGGAATTTATAGTGAAAGTGTGCTTCACTCATTCTGGTTACCAAATTGCTCTTGGAAAGGTACCCCTGATTGCCCTGATCACGCTTTTCTTCATTTTGCCATTTTTGATTATTTCATTTGGATTTGCATTAACTTTGGATCGTTATACATTACAAAAAAAAAAGTAAGACCTATCCCGAAAATAAGACCTAGTGTGTTTTTGTGAGCCCAAAAAAATATAAGACAGTGTGTTATTTTTGGGGAAACACAGTATCTAGAAGTATGTGTTTGTAGATTGTCATTACTAAACATTTCTAAAGGTGTGTTTGTTGTTATTTTAAAGATATGGGTAAAGGTCCACTTTAATTGTGTAAAAAATTATTTATTTGGCTCTGACTAATATGTGGATTGGATTCTGTCTACTGCAGGCTTTTTACCACTATCTGATCAGAAAGAGTTTTTGTTTTGGGCATGTGTTGCAACAAATAATTTGCTTTTGTAGTCTGTCCTAACAAATTAATCATGCTTTTAGAATATTAAAGGAGAACTATGAGGTGAGTGCTTTTCACTCACCTCATAGTTCTAGCCGACTTGTGACAATGAGACTGTCACAGGCCGGCTCAGTAGATCGGGAGGTGAGCGAACACATACCGGGTTCGCTCGCCTCTCGATCCTGTCACGGCTCTCTGCTGTGACAGGGGAGGGGCTGGATTCCCCCCGCTCCGATCCGCCAGCGCTGACTGGCGGATTGGACGGGGGAGGGGGCGGGTACAGCTGGCTCTGCCCCTAGATAGGCAGAGTCAGCTGTCACTCACGCAGCTGGGCGGATCTCGACAAACATGGTCACATTGACACCCCCAGAACCTCTATTCTCCCCCCCGCCCCCACACTTACCTGAATTGCCGGGTTATTCTCCCTGCAGACTGCTGCGATTTCTTAAAATTTGGTATGGGTATGCGTGGCTCTGCTGACACATCCACGTTATCTATTTACGTTATCTATTTACAAATTTACTGCCACCATGGCAGAGGAACTTCTCAATGGCAAAGAGGAGGATAAATGTGCAGGAGCCAGAGCATTGCACGCGCGATGCACTGATCACAGTTCCAATGCTTTACTGAGTCCAAAGCCAAAAAGACAAATGCACATTTTTTCTATGAATATGTGTGCATTTATTATTTTTTTAAAGGTGGACTTAAGCTTTAACTGTAATATTTTAGTTCTCTTAAGTATAGATATATCTATATTGTACTTATTATGGCCACTGAACATTTACAGGAGATTCTGAGGAAGCCATCATCAAGATTTTTTATAAAATGGGACAGCTAGCAGTTCCAGCAGCCATTGCATTTTCTAAAATCAAATGTTAGTGTGGCACTGCAGATGTTTCTGCAGTGTAGGTAGATGTTGAGATAAACTCACACCTCAACATTTTTACTTACCTGCAGTAGTGAAGGTCATGCTGTCTTAAAATCTCCTTCTCTAGAGCTGCAATGCCCCTCTCCTCCAAGTGAACTTAAAAACTGGCGGTTCTCTGGATGGCCTCCTCCTTACTCCCGTAAGCATCATGCAGCCTCTTCCTGTCTAGCCTGATTGTAATGAATACCCCCTCCCCCCCATAGTTCCCAAGACCACAGGGGTGACACCATGACCCTGGCATTAGTAGCGTCCCTGCAGTGTTATGTAACAGTGAAGACCAGTTCAGTACTTAGTAATGCCCACACACAACACCATCACCTTGCCCCACCAGCTACGACCCTCTAATGCCTATTGAGACATGTAGTCTTTTAACAGCTGCGAACATCACCGAGGTTTAATAAATACTCCCCACACGTGGCCCAAAATGATTAAAGGTGCTCTGATGCCTTGCACATTCAGGACAAAGTGACAGTGCCTTTGCAAAGGGACTCCTCTGGCCCACTGATTACCTTACCAGTGCTTCCCCACCACTCCAGCCTCCATCACAGTCGGAACTAAAATCCTCATTGTTTGAGCAGCAATGTCAATCCCTCTGCAATATGACAATACTAAGTCTTGGTGAGTGGTTGCTAGACATCAGTACTGTCACATGAGAGTAAGTCACATGCTCCCCTATACTAAGAAGCACCGGGTATTGTTGCTTACTATGACAGTGGAGAGTGGAGGGGGAGTCCTGTCAGGGTGAGTATTAGTGGGTTGGAGGCCCCTTTGCAAAGATGGAAGGGTAGTGTCTCTCCAGGAAAAACATTAATTAACACCTGCAGTGGGGCTACTCCTGCACTGCAAGGGTTAATTACTTGTTTATAAGTTATACTTACCTGAACTGCTTAGTTAAATACTTAGTTATACTTAGCTGAACTGAGGAGCCTGCTATGTCTCACACCGTTCCTTCCAGCCTCTCTCTTCCTCCACTGCAGCGGTCTAAGGTCCTGGAAATCATCACATTCTATACACTGTGTATAGATGTGAGAATGGTGAGAAACATCCCAATGCTGCAGCATAGGAGGGGACCGGAGAAGCAGACTGGAAGAGACCGGAGAAGATGGGAGCCAGCTCAGCACTGGGTGAGTATAACTTTAGGCACCTAGACAAAAATGATCAGGCAACCCTTGCAGTGTGTGGTTGACCCCACTGCAAGGGTAATAAAGTAATTAAGTTGCATTGACCAAGGGCAGGAGTTCACCTTTGAATATTCAATGTCCTTGATCAGGTATCCCCATTCTAGTTCAACTCATAAGTCAGATTTCCTAATGAGTGTCAGTGAGCCACACCAAGGATTAGAAAAGAACACTCAAAAAGTATTTTTTCATTAAAACAATAAAACTTCAACAGAATTATAGAAATAAGGCCTTTGAATTTGCATTTATTCTAATTAGAAGTGAATTTTGCAGCAGATGTTCGTTCACATAAGACAAGTATTTCAAAGCAAAGAATCTGCTGAGAGACTGCTGGGAACCAAAGGGAGCTATGAGCCACACGTGGTTCCCATGCTACTAATTAGGGATCACTATGGTAGTAGGAAACTATTGTGCATATAACACATTTGTCTAATGCTGGATAGTAAAGGAAATTGTGAAATCTGCAGCTGAATTATTTGTGACGGTAGATATGGAAGGAAGATAACTATTAATCAGGAAACACATACATTTATTTTTATGGTTTATGCTTTTTATCTTGCTAGGTAGCTGCACACGCTTTTCCCGCTACACCATTGATACAGCCTGATAAATCTTTTAGGCTGCTAAAAATACACAGCAATATAATCTTACACTTCAGCATCAGGAAAGATATTAAATAAAAACAATATAATGATTTTATTTGAACACATAAGCAGTTTTGCTGATGCAAGTATGCTATGTCCGTATAAATTAAGACCCTGTGCTCTGATATGCCCTACTGCAAAGCATATTCCTTCTTTAGAAAATATATAGATATTTCCCCCAAAGTAATTGAACCCTTTTTTTCCAGCATTTCTTTGATGATCCTGAAGGAAAGATTGAATTGCCGGCTAATTTAAAAGTTCATTGCTGGAAGCGTCCTCACGAGTTCATAACAAATACGGTAAGAACTGTTGTAGTAGAAACCCATAATGAAACTAAATTACATAGGTTAAAGTGATTCTGTGGGGGTAATAAAGTAAAAAAAGCTGCTGACAGGTATAAAGTGGAGGCACTTAGCGTTGCCTGCACATGGAAGCAGAAGCCTTCAGCCCCACCTTTCTCCTACCCTGCCCGAATGTCAGACCATTCTGATTAGGCAAATCCCCAACACCTCTAGTAGCTTTGGTGCTTTCCCTCTCTCTCCTGATTTCTACTGGCCCATATTAGTTTCCTTTCTGACCCGTAGAAATGAGTCGGAGGCAATAGAGAGTGGGTTTCAACACTCCCAAGAAGTGCCAAAACCTTGCTGCATCATTTAGGAGCAGCATGGCAATGAAATGCTTCTACATTTATCTTCAGGCACCCCTAGGTGGCTGTACTTTATACCTCTCATCAGCTTAAGTTGTTTCTGTTTAAAGGATAAGTGTACACATCAATGCTTTTACTACATCTAGCTTTGCATACTATGCTTTCCCTTTCCCTGTGCTTCGAAATCTTTCCTCACAATGTCAGATAAATGTAATATTTGCTTGTTTCCTTATAGCTCACCTAGAACTGCACTGTAACTGCCGACAAGGACTGAGAGCAATATATACTTATTAGTGATATTACTACTGCAACTATATGTGAGAGCTTCCTGCTGTGGGCTGCTGGTTGCTAGAATGCAGGCAGACGCAAACGTCCTAGCTATTAGTGACACACCCCGGCTTCTTTCAACTGCGGGTCACTGAATTCCCCTTTGCCATAGTGTATCTATATCCATTTTTTTTTTTAGAGTTTTGGATAGAGTGGGAATGAATACAACGTTTGTCAGCTGTTTTTGCTCTGGAAAGCATAGCCCTGTCTGTTTGGCCTGTGGGGTTATTGTCATTGCAGAAACAAAATTTGACAGTTGTTGCTGGGACACAAGGTAAGGGGGAACTTTCCAATTAGGACACCTGTACTGATGACAGCTGTCTAACAGGGAATTTCCTCTCGCATACTGTTGTGTCTCTGGGACAGAAATTAAAGGGAAATATCCCCAATGGAGCATTGAATGCAAAACAAACAAATAAATAAATACATAAAAACCATATGGTTTTTCACCTTTCTCTACAGTATCCAAAACTAAAAAAATAGATATAGATACTTTTTATAGGTGTTATAATATTTAATTTCAAAATGTGTTACTTTGGCAACATGTGTTCTCTTACTGCCCCATGTTGTTTGTGCCCTGTTCTGCTGCTTGGCAATTTCTACAGCTTCAACAGAAGTCATTTCATCTTGTCATTAAAGCCAATGTGAAGGCTTCCGAGCAGTGAAAGCAGCACAGAAACAATAATGTGTAAAATACAATAGTCAAGGGCCTGTCATATTTGTTTACTGAAAATAGAAGGGTAAGGTTTGGTTGCTGCAGGCTACTGCATGTTGAACATTGGCCTTTGCTTAGCTGAATTAGCCTCATTGTGTCTTTTTTAAATGGTAAAATTAAGGGGACAGAGCTGCATTTTTTCAATGGTTGGATAAGTACTACTTTTTGAAACTAACTGGTGGGCGAATCTGCAAGGGTTTAATTCGCCAAGGGTCCTGAGTAGTTTTGGACCAAAGCCGGTCTGAACCTGAGCTCCTCTTAACCCTGAAGCTACATGGGACCACACGCCTATTCAGCTGCAGGCTGGAACATTCTCCATCTCACAGCTGCTCATTACCAAAGGATCAGGATACTTGTGCTGAAATCATTGGCCTTGTATGGTCACATGGCCATATTAAATCAATGTCATTGACCAAATATAGTCATGTGGACATGTAAGGTCAATGACTGCACTGCATTCCGCCCCCTTGCATGCAAGCAGCTGTGGGCAGAGAATTCCTTGTCCGCAGCTGGTTTGGCTTCAGAATAAAAAGTTTCCTTCTGTGATTGGAGGAGCTTAGATTCGGAACAGGGTCAATCCAAACTTGAACTCATACCTAGTCCTGAGAATCTTGTCCAAAATTTGGCAAACCTGAACTTTTCATTAAAGTATGAGGGGAGTCTTCTTGGTAAATTCTTCTTCTTGGTAAATTCTGGACATCTTTAGGGCTAATACTATTAGCCTAATAGGAAAACTACTGTCCAAAAAAGAATGGGAAGCTAGTTTGTTTTGGTTGTCACTGTTTTCCCTGATGCGAAACTGGCCGGCCGTGGGCAAATTTCAATCAAGTGCTCAATAAAAATTTAGAGACTGGAGGTGGTACAGCTGTGTAAAATTGGTCAGCAGCTAAACATTTAATATGAGAAAGATTTGGCCAAAATGTACTGTAGAAATAGAGTACAAGCAAATGTTTTACTACACAAGCAGTGTAAAATTGCCCAACAGCAGCCCAATTTTAAATAGCAAGGCTAGGCTAACATTTGCTAGAGATAAAGAGCACAGGCTGGAGCTTTGCTACAAGAGTTGAGATACTGCAGAGGATACAGCAGTGTAAATTTTGCCAGCAACAGTACAGTTTTAATCATGGCTAATGGGCCTAACTGCTGTATGCCTAACTTTTATTTTGTGGGATTGGGGGTGTGTGTTCAATGTGAGTGATATAATATCAGGTGGTTTAGGTGCACACTGTTGTTGCCCATTTTTTTTCTTTCAAATGATGCAGCAGCGTTCTGTGAACAAAAGTTAGTTCCAAGAACAGATGGTCACTAATAGGTGAATGCCTGTTGCCGCTTTCAGTACCCCGATCTAAATAAAAGGCCCTATCAACATAAAATAAAAAAGCTCCTAAGAACAAAAAAAAAAAGGCAGCAAAAGGGTGTTAGTGCAAAAAGCTAGCAGTCAGAATTAAAGTACAGTTGGGTTACCCTCATCTCTCCCTATATAGTTTGTTTTGTTAACTTTCCCTATTCTTCCCCCACAATAGCTTCCAATTCACTGACACTATGGTTGCTCTTTGCCCCCTCTCTTTTATAGTGATG